CCGTGATTTCCGTACGTCTTGGAAGGATTTTGGCCTCTCGGAGGCGTCCTGGAGAAGCTCCGTGGCCACTTGGACCTGGCTTGGAGCGTTCTTGGGACCTCTCGGAGTATGTTGGAAGCCATCCTGAGCGATCTCGCTTTCTTTTGAATCATCTTGGAAGCCATCTTGGGCTATCTGGAGCTCTCTTGGGGCCATCTTGGACGCGACCCCCTCCAGGCCCAGGGAGAGGTGGTAGGGAGAGGTTCACCGAAGGGGAAGAAGAAGGTCAAAAGAAGAAACGCTGCAATCCACAAACACCCTACGGGCCTGGTTGGCTTTTTTCGAGACCTGAATTGCATCATCATCGGTGAACGCAGCATTCTCCAACCTGCCTACTCTGCGGAAGAAGCCCCGATGACACCTGCGACTGAATGCGAAGCCAGTGGGCTTGCCGGCTTGCCTGGACCCGGAGTGCCAGAATTTTCATTCACGTCGGCTTGGAAATGACAAAGTGTGTTAGGATTGTGAATGCCCTCTCGGCCTGGCAGCTCCTTCTGAAGACCCGGGATTTCCTCGACTCGGGCCCGGCCAAGGCCTGGCCGACAGATGGCCACGGTTCCACGGAGCGGTGGGTTCTGGGCTGTGCGACAGACCCAGAAATCCGACGTCGTGATGACTTGAATACGGGGCCCCCAGAAGTCTCGTCCCATCCCCCAGGACCAGCTTTTCATCCTGATTCGTTTTTTGACAAGTCCCGGGGCCCGTCAAGGGCCCCTAGACACCGAAACTGGCGAAAGACCTCCGTCTTGTTCTTTTTTCAATCCGCTGGACCTCTGGGGTGCTCTTGCTTGCATTGAAACGAGCCGTTGGCCCACCGGCCCGCTTAATGGAGGATGACGATTAATAAATGACTGGGGGTTGTGTTCACGCGGCGGCGCCCGGGATGACGATTAGAAAAAACCGCCCGCGGGCTGGGAAACTATTTTTGTTTAAGCGTTCTCCTCCAGTCTGGAAATCGTGCAGAAATCGTAGAAAACTATTTTTATAATCGTTCTCTCCCATTATTTATTAATCATCATCCCGCGTTAGGAAGGGCCTCCGCTCCCGCCATCCGCTCCCCCCCCGCTCTCTCCCCAGTGGTGGCTGGCGCCCCGCTACGCGAGCGGGTGCCAGCAGCTCCCTGGCAGCGCCGCTGCCGCGGCGCCCGCGGGACTGCACTGCCCCGTCGCGCCGGTGCAGGCCGCGGCGCCTGCGCCAGGGCGGGGACGTCAGCCACGCGCAGAGGGGGGTGGGGGGAGGGGGGAGGGCTTCTTAGAAGCACCCCTGCTTCTTAGAAGGTGCGGGCCTCATCTACAGATGTGAGGCCGGCACCTTCTAAGAAGCAGCCTCCTTCTAAGAAGCCCTCCCCCCTCCCCCCCCCCCCTTTTGCGCGCCGCCAAGGATGGCCCGCCGAGTGGGCACAGCTCGATCAGGGGCCACGATGAGGTAGGCAGCGGGGGGGGGGATGCATCGAGCCCCAATCGCCCATTGATCGCCGACAGGGGCCCGATAGCCCCAACCTGCCCAGGAACGTGCGGATTCACTGTCGGGGTCCTGTTCGCCGATCTATCGGCGATGTATCGCCGAGTCCAGGTCGATGCATCCCCCCTTATGCCAGTCCCCTCCTATCGTTGCCCCTCACTCGAAGGAGAGAGAGAGATCCGGACGAGCATGAGTCTTCGGAGGGTTCCGCGCGGGCGTCCTCGGGATGGATCGGCGCGGGCCCCCTCTGGCGGCGCCTGCGGTGCGGCCCCGCGGCGCCGCTTCGCGCGCCAGGGAGGGAGGGAGCCCCGCCAGGGAGTCCGCTGGGGCCCCCAGAAGTTCAGGTGCGTGGCCATGCCGTCTTTTGTCCCTCGCGCAGCGAGGGGGTGGCGGGCCTCGCCGCTCTCCGAATTGGAGTGCGCGGCCTGCGTCCGCGGGGCGGTGCCACGCGCCGCGGCGTGTCCACAGACGCGCGCTGCCCCCTCCCGCCCCCGCTCCCACACCATGGGCAGCTGCCAGGTGGTCAGGTCCCACCAGCGGTGTGTGCGTGGGGGGCTCCATGATCGAAGTGTCAATGACAGGCGCGTCGGCTTTCAAGCTGCGCGGGTCACTCAGGCGCTCTTGCCCCAGGATTTCGAGAGGGAGGGGGGGTATCAATCGCGTATTGCCGTCGGAAGCCCCTCAGCGTGTTACTCCCTCCCCTTTGTCTGGGAACCTGGCATTTCTGCAGCAGTGCCACGCTGGTGGGTTACCCGTACCCGCGGCGGCGTGCCATCGATATGATTGTTCCCAACCATCCTGTGGTGTGGGGTCTTCGTTTTGAAGAGACGGTCCCCGCGTCCCTCCTCTCATCTCCCCTCCTCCTGCTCCTCCTCCTCCTCCTCGTCCTCCGCCAGTGACCCCCCTCACAGTGGCACACCCCTCGCGCGTTCTGTGGCCCCATAAGGAGCTCCACCGAAGGCCCACGTGCCAGCGCTCGCATGCGCCCACCGCACCCGTGGCCCACTGCGGCACACCACTCGCGCGCTCCGTGGCCCCATAGGGAGCTCCAGCGCCCGCCCCCCTGGACAATCTGACGATGCGGGCTGCACAGGCGAAGTGCATAAGCGCGCAGCACTGGTGCGCGCGGGCAGACGTTGGGCCGCCCAGAGCGAAACGTTTAGGTTGTCGGCCGCCACTCCCCCACTCCCCCCCGCCAGACACCTCGGGCTATCTCCGACAATCGCGACACGGTTCCTGTGGCGTACCGCACCGGCGGCCCCCGCAGGCCACCGCGGAAGGTCGCCATGTCACCCCGCGCAAGACACGCTGGGCTCGTTTTCATCAGCGCGCGACCTTCCCCGCCCCGCCGCCCTCGCGGGCACGCGGCGCGGTGAGGATGCTGCCGCGAGACCCTGCATGGCCGAAGCCACTAACCGGTACTGCCGGAGCCTGCGGAGTCCTTCTGCCCTGGAGCCCCGGCGCGCTTTGCCTGAGATCAGGCGACGTGAAGCAGCCGCAGCATCGTGACAGAGCACGGCTGGATCCCTGGACCCCATCTGCCTGCGTCAATGCGGGAGCCGTGAAGGAACAGGGGTCAATGCAAACGTGGGTCAGCCAGAGCGCCGGATCGTGCAGCATCCAGAAGGGCCAGGGCTGCACTGACCCGGGCTTGGGGTGCAGGATCCTGCAGTATGTTGCAGGATCTTGCAAGGCCTGACTGACCAGGGTCTGCATTGACCCGGGTCAGTAGGTCTCCGACATTGTCGAGCCGGATCGATTCGTGAGGGTCCCGGGTCCTCGCGAGCAACCTCTAGATTGCGAACGCCTCGCCTAGCAATGCTGAAGGCCCTGCAAGGGGTACCCAACCACACACATAACACTTGGCCCCGCTGGATGAGGCCGACGATATACTGCCTGATGCCGGGGTCCAAGAGGTCATACTCGGGGCCCTTCGAGAGCTCGATACCTTCTCCGCTTGGAATCCCCAAGATCGGGCGAGAGTCGGCCATGCGTAAGAGTGACTCGTCGCTGGAGTGACCCTTGCTGCAAGGCCCGCAGGGGTCCCCCCAACAGTGGACGGCGCGCTCGGATTTGGCCTCGCCGCGGCCCGCTGGAGCCGCGCACCAACGGTCCCTCCTGTCCGGGGTCACTCTGTGCGTGCAGCCGGGAGAGGGCCCGCTGTGAAAAGAGTGATGGCAGCGCTAGGATCTGATGGGTTCTGTCGGTCACGAGGAGTCCGTAGCCACTCGAGCGACTCCAGGAAGAGGGGCCGTCTGCGCCGACACTGGCGCGTCGGCTGCCCGCGCAAGGTCGCGTGTGTAAGCGCCCCTGTCTCCAGTGTTGCTTGCGCGACCGCGTAAGGTCGCGTAAGCCACCGCGTAAGGTCGCTGCGTCACCTCGCGTAATACGCATTGTTGGATCGTCGCTCTGGCGAAGTGGCCCTCTCATCGGGCTTCATCCGGCCAGATCCTGTGAAGCGGCCCTGTCATCGGGCTTCACCGCCCGTGCGTTCCAGCGAAGACCTCCGAGGAGTTGCCTCCTAGCGTGGCCACTGGCCGACGTCGCCGATGCATCGCCGACGTCGCCGATGCATCGCCGATGCATTGGCGCTGCGGCGTGATCCTTCGAGCCCATCTAGGAGGCCTCCAGAGGAGTCCGTAGCCTGACGTCAGGCATGTCCCTCTACAGGAGGAATAGCTCCGGAATGGTAAAAAAATATAGCCCGAAGGCGATGTTTCCATCACTTGTTGCTTGCCTTTGATGCGTGTTCCGACCGTTTTCTGCGTTTCCTCCGACGTCCGCCTGCAGGAAGACAATGCCCGGCCCGACCGCAGAGCCCCTTTGAGCCCGAGGAGTCCGCGTGTCGCCACCTGGAGCCCCGGCCGCCCCCCGAGGCGCCGCCACGCCGCGCCGCAGCCATGGCCGCGGCGGCGGCGCCGCGGCGCCTCGGCGGGGCGGCGCGCGCGGCCGTGGGCGCGCCACGCGCCGTGGCGCTCCTCGACGGCGTCGCCCTGCCCTGCGAGACGCTCGGCGACGCCGGCCGCGAGCCGCTGATCTGGGGCCACGGCCTGGGCCCGCAGGCCGCGCGGGGCCTCGTCCTCGTCGGCGTCGTCGTCGTCGTCGTCGTCGTCGTCGTCGTCGTCGTCGTCGTCGTCGTCGACGCGTCGCGAGAGGCGGGCAGGCGGTCTGCGGGGAGCCTCGAGGGCGAGGGGGGGGCTCGTCCCCGAGAGCCCGGCGAGTCCTTGTTCTCGGGCGGGGCGGTGGCGCTCCAGTGCGGGCCCCGGGGCCCTCACGGATCGACGCGGCTCGGAGATTGAGGCAGGGAGGTGAGGTCCCGGGGTGTCGGTCGTGGTTTTTGGCGGTGGTGTCCCCGATTTTGCCCTCCAGTCCCATTCGGGAGGGGGAGGTCGGAGATCGTTGAGAAAACACATGTGGAGCCCGTACCCCCCCGCCCCAACCCGAAATTGGGGTCTTCGGGTTAGGTTGGGGTGGTCTGGTAGGTAGTCAGGCAGGGTGGGATAGGCGTACTGCAGGATCATGCGGCGTTGGCGCGCCGGCGACGCCGTCGAGGGCGTTCAAGGTTGAGTTCTGCGACGCGGAAGTATGGATTCCCCTCTCCTTCCTCTTCAGGGAGGCGGGCTGAAGCCCAATCTACTTCAAACGCCTTCCTACTTTCATGCTTCTACCCACTTCTTCCGACCGACGGGTACCCTTGCATCCTTGCCTCTTCGGTCACCTTCGGTTCATCCTGAACTACTTTCGATGACCAGTCCCGCTCGAAGAGCCACGGCATGGGCGTCCAATGCCCTTGCAGCTTTATCGCGCATCCTTTCTATACTGGCTGACTGTAGCAGATTGTTGTCGGTCGCGATCGGTCGCTACCAGAGGGCACTCCCAATCGGTTGCGACCGACTGCGACCCACCCCTAAATCGGTCGCATCCGATCGCGACCGATCGGTCACAACAGATTTGAAGCAGATCGGTCGCGACCGATACGGAAATTTGTGGCAAAATGGCTAGCGACCGTTCTCGTCGGTCGCGGCCAGGAAAGCTGGCATCTAACGAGCAGAGCAGCGGCGTTTTCGCCCAGTTCCGGGCCCTGGGGCTCTCACAGATCGGTCTGGCTCGAAACATACCGCAGTAAGATGAGGTCCAGGGCTCCGGGCCTGCTGGTTCAAAATGTTGTATGCTTTGCAACGTCGGATCTCAGGGAACGGGTACGGGAAGAACAGGACGAATACCAACAGCAGTTCCTGTCCATTGTGAACCGGCTTCGCAGTCTGTGGCACCGCGGGCGTTGCCCCTTCGATACGCAAGCTCGCCTTCCCAGCAGGGCCCCTTTGTCGGTTTTGGGCAACACGTGCTGTTGGGCATCGCACCCTCTTTGCCCGTACCCAGCGCGGGCGTTCCAATCAGGAGCCCTGGGCCATGACCCGGCGGTCCTGCGAGCGCTTCTCGGAGGAGGGCACGCCGAGACAGCGGCGGTTGGCCTTCGGACGGCCCCCTCGCCGCAACGGCTGGACGCAGCTCGGAAGTCTGATGTGTGTGTGTGTGGATCACGGGAGGGATCTGGGGACGGTTGCTGAGTCGCCGTTGCCTCCGCTCGCCCTGCTCCGAGCATCCCGGTCGCCTCTGCGGCCGTGGGCACGCCTCTCTGCACGGAGGGCTCCAGGGGCGAGCTGCCCGCAGCGCCCTTCAGCCTGGTGCTGTACGACGCGCGCGGGCACGGAGGATCGAGCGGCTGGGACTGCCCGGGCTCCAGCCGCCCGTGCAGCACCCAGCAGTTCCACTGGAGGGCTCTCGGCGTGGACATGCTCTTCGTGGCAGACCGCCACCGCAGCGCGGGCGCGGCCGCGGGCGCGCTGCTGGGCGGCTACAGCATGGGCGCCTCCTCGGCGCTGTGGGCGGCATTCCTGTGCCCCGCCGCGGTGCGCGGCCTGGTGCTGCTCAGCGTGACAACCGCCTGGGAGATCCGAGACGGACGGCGAGGGAGCCTGATCGACATCGCAGAGGATCTAGGCCTCCCAACCAGGGTTCTAGCAGATGTGGTCGGTGGATCGCGCCGCATCGCCGACGCATCGGCGATTCGGCTCGATGTGGAGCCCGATGTTTCTCCGCGATGACGGTGCCGATGCATCGCCGATGTCGGTGGTGCACCGCCGATGCATCGGCGATGCATCGCTGGTGCATCGGCGATGCGGCGCGATCATAGATCTAGAGTGAGCATCTTTAACTGATCCCTGTCCCTACTAGCATGGCCTTGGCCCCACTGACCGACTTAGCCTCCTAGAAGGTGATGTAGGCTGTCCCCTTCGGGTTTAGAGGGGTACATTCCCAGCTGGGGTGCTGAGCTGGTGGGGCTGAGACACCAAAGCCTTGTGGGGATAAGGGGTAAGTTTAACGATCGGCTACGCCCAAGAGTGACCACTCGCTGGAGCGACCTTTGGTGCGCGCTTTCGGGGGGCGCTGTGGGACCAAGCCCAAGCGCGCACGGCCGCTACCTTCGTACCGTACGCAGCGGCCGACAAGCCGCGCACCAAAGACCACGCTTGCTTGGGGTCACTCTTACGTGTAGCCAAAACGGTATTACAGAGGAGCACCGGCGACAGGGCCGCTTGGCTGCAGCCAGCGTGGTGCTTGGGGCCGCCGCCGCCGACTTGCCGCCGCTGGAAGACATCCGCGCGGCCAGGATGCAGATGCCGGCGTTGCTGGCGGCCGCCGAGGACGACCCGACGCACCCGGCCGAGGTGGTCGAGAGGCTCGCAGCGGCGCTTCCCGCGGCCACGCTGCTGCTCACCGACAGCACCCAGGATGTCGTGGGCGAAAAACATCTCCGCATCCGTGGTTTCGCAGGCCGGGCCCCTGGGCCGCGATCCAGCGGATACGGGGCGTTCTGTTCGCGGATGCCCCGCGCGGAACGCATCTGTGCGACCGCAAATCCGCGGGATCGCGCTCTGGAATCCAGCCCGCTAGGGCGCAGATATGGATGTGTTCGCCGCTCGTGGGGATCGGGAGGAGGCCATCTGCAGCGAGAAGGTCAACGATGCCTCCCCGAGTTGGGGGTAAGGGATGGCTCGAGCGAGAGGGAGGGCCACCACGGGGACCCTGGCTCCTCCCGCTGGTGGTCCCTGGTGGTGGTGGTGTTGTCGCTTTTCCTTGCCCGTGCCAGGAGCTGAACAGCAAGTTCCCAGAGGCGCTGCGCAGCTGGCATCGCCGGCACTTCTCGGACCCAGCTGGCTGAGGGCCGAGCCTGTCTCGGGGGATCCACGATGGGGTCCAGAGGGACACTGGCCCTGAAGGCGGGAGAGGGCTTCCAGAACGAACCTGCAGCGCCCAGGGCCTCCTCGCCCGAGAGCCGCATTGCCCCACGTCTCGCGGCCCCCGTCCTCCCGAGTGCCGAGCCCAGGGCGCTGCCGCAGCAGGCCGCCGCGACGGCACGACACCGCCCAGGAGCTGAGCAGACAGATGCCGGAGGCGCTGCGCTTCCGGCATCGCCCGCACTTCTTCCTCAGGGCACTGCCAAAGCGTGCCGCCGCGGGGGGGGTCGGCGGCGCCGCCTGCCAGGGCGGCGTCGTCTGCGGCCTCGGGGCCCCTGCTTGCCGGTCGAGCGGCGCGCCCGAGAGGACCGGGCGAGCGGAGCGCCGCCTTCCAACAAAAGGGCTGGGGGGGTCTTCTCGGGTGGTCTCGACTTGGAGGAGGCGGAGGAGGAGGAGGAGGAGGAGGGAGGAGGGAGGAGGGAGGAGGGAGGAGGAGGAGGAGGCGGAGGAGGAGAGGAGGAGGAGAAGGAGGAAGAGGAGGAGGGAGGAGGAGGAGGAGGAGGAGGAGGAGGAGGAGGAGGAGGAGGAGAGGAGGAGGAGGAGGAGGAGGAGGAGGAGGAGGAGGAGGAGGAGGAGGAGGAGGACGAGGAGCACCACCACCAGAGGTGGGGGGAGGAGGCCGCCCCCTGGCTTCTCTTGCGGGCGGCGGTGCGCGTGCTGCTCTTGACCAACATCTGTGTTGCTCCCTGCGAGTACAGGAGGGATCTTCGCGACGAGTCAAAGATAGTCCCGGGACGATCTTACCTGGTTCTTTCTGATTATGTTTGCCTTTTTTGTTTGTTTCTGTTTTGTACTACTTAGATTGCTTCTTCACATAGGCCTGCAGGAGGACGTGCCCGCCCTAACCGCATGAGGAGGGTGCCGTGTGCAGGTGCCCGGCATCTTCCGAGAGGCGGGAGGAGGGCTCCTGAGAAGGTCGTCGTTCTCGCCCTCGCGCGGGTGGTGGTCGGAGGGGAGAGGAAGCGACACCAACACCGCCAGGGGTCAAGCAGTGGCGAAGCGTCCTGGCTCGCCTATAGCCCTACCAAACAATGTTCTAAGCACCTTTTGTGGTTTCCACGAAGTGTTCTTGGAACATGTCTGGTTGGGACTGCATTGTTTTAACACATCGGGTTAATGTTCTAAGAACATTGTTTTGTTATTAGAACATATTGGGGGTTCAAAGTACATTTTGTGGTAGGACTATAGGAATGCCGGGACGGTCGGTCCCTGCTCAACAGGGGGCCCACCTCCAGCCAGGAGGTCCACGATGCCTCCCCGAGCTGGAGGCTGGGGATGTCTCGAGCAAGAGGGGGGTGGACCACACCACCATCAGAGCGTGAATTACCTACCCCGCTTTCGCTTCCAGGCAAGACCAAGTCATACCATACGCCTCCTCGTCAAGCGGCCTGACCAGTAGATGCCGTAGTTTGGCATCGCTTGGTATCTCTTGGAAGCGAGGGTGGTCAAAAGCGAGGTAGGTTTGTTTGCCCCCTACACCAGGGAGACCCCCCCTTGCCCCTTGCATCTCTTCGCCCTGGTGGTGTTGGTATCGCCGTCCCTTGTTCCTATAGCTATAGGGGTGGGGGTGGGGGGGGGGAAGGCTCCTGCGGTTTTCGGGTTTTCTCGGACGTGAGCGCGGCCGCAACGGTGCACCAGCCAGCACCAAGCAGCCGTCGCTTTCGCCGCCGCATGGGCTGTGCAAGCCAAGTTGCGGGTGGGTGGGAGGGAGGATTTCGCGAGCATGTGAGATTGTCACGCGCCAGGAAATAACTCAATTGCACCACGTAGATTGCACCACATACGCTGCACAAGTTGAGCAACACGAGTTCCTGCTTGATGTTGTCTTGTTACAACGGCGTCGGTTGTACGCTCCAAGAAATTATGCTAGGGCATTCGAGCACGATGTGGTTCCCCAAAACACGACGCCTCTGCACCTCGCAGGCCCACGACCCATAATGTTTCTACCACGACTGCCGCCTCGAAGCTGGGTTTAGGTACGTATCTTTCCCTTGTAATCCTCCCTCTTTCCCTCGAGGGAACCTGGGGCTCCCCTGGAATCAGTATCGTTTTACTGGTCCCTATCCCCATCCGCCTCCCGATCCCCACCATCCCACCACCCTGGCTGAGGATATGCCCCCCGAAGCCCGAAGAGAACAGCCCAGATCCCACTCTGGGGGAGCCAACCTGCCAGCGTGGCCCAGGCCACGCCAGTGGGGATAGGGATCTGCTCAACGATGCTCGTGGCAGGGCCCCATCCGGAAGCGCAGGGCGCGCGCGCGAGCCCAGACATCCGGCCGCTCCCAGTTTGTCGATGCGTGAGCCCCGGAGGTCGAGACCACTTCCCCACAAGGGCAGGTTCTTCGCCCCGAGTTTCTGTTGGGGGGCACACGGCTTCGAGGCACGGCGAGGGGGCCCCCGGGAGGCCGCCGAAACGGCCGCAGCAGGGGCGACGCTCCCGCCTGCTCGCTCGGCGCGCCTGCAGCTCTGCGAAAGCGCAGGGCACGCGCGCGCGCGAGCGCCGCGGCCAGGCCTCGCCGCGGCCGCGGAGCCAGCACGACGCCGCGCCGGCGGCCGCGTGGGCCGTGGCGCAGCCGCTGCCGTCCGCCAGGGCGGGGCCGGCCGGCGGGGCGGCGCCTCGGGCCGTCGGCGGCCCTTCGGCGGCCCTTCGGCGGTCCTCGGCGGCCCCTCGGCGGCCTCTCGGCGGCCCCTTTGGCGGCCCTTTAGCGGGTCCCCCCTCGGCGGCCCCTGACGTCCTCGAGACTGTTTTTGTTCAGGGTCTGGCGAAAGCCCGGGCTTCGGAGGAGGACCAGGTATCCATGCCGGCACTTTTCGCCCGTTCTCTTGTTTTCGGGCCTCCTCGGAGGCCCTCCTTGCCACCGCTGGATTCGCTTCGAAAGTCTGGTCAGAACGCACCCCAGGAGAGGTCCCGGGAGTAGCGGTATCGGTCTCGTTTGGTTTCCCCACGGGTTAGCACACCCGCCCGCCCCCCCTTTCCACTCCCCCTCCATTCCTCCGTTCCCCCTGGCCTTGTCAGTTGCGCAGGTCCGAAGGGGGTGCGCAGTGCTGGTGCGCGCGAGCGCGCGTGGCGCTGGCCAGGGCGAAAAGATCAAGTTATCTGCCGGCACCTCCACCCCTCCCCCCGCTGCAGCTACCCTGGGCTACCGCCAGAATGTGCAAAATTCTTACATCTCCCACCGAACGCGCTCCGCTGCTCGCAAAGTGCTTACTCGCAGACGTCAGAAGGAAAACAGCGTGTTCGACGCGATGTTAATGGATAGAAAATCCGACGCGGCGCATCCAGGCCTTTTGCGAGCATTTACCTTGCGAGTAGTAGAGCGCGCTCGTCAATCCTCACCCAGACCCGCGACGTTATGTTTTTGTTCATGGCGTTGTTCATGTAGTGATGACAAACGGGTCTCTGGGAACGCAGTACCGACGCAGGCCCATTGTCCTCCTCCTCCTCCCCCTCCTCCTCCTCCTCCTCCTCCTCCTCCTCCTCCTCCTCCGCCTCCTCCTCCTCCTATATCCCTGGCTCGCCAGAGGAGAAGCGTGCGGCAGGTGCTCGCCGTTGCGACGCGGCGGCAGCACCAGCGCGGTCGCTCCAGGCTGCGTTGCGCCATGGGCCCAGGTTCGGCCGACCTTTCACGATCCGGGCTGTCGGAAAGACGCGGTTGTTCTCAATGTGAAGCGATCCGTCCACGAAGTGTCAGACGGCAGCGCCGACTTCGCCTCGGCACCAACCTGCCGTGGGCAGGACGGCCAGGAGAGGAGGAGCGGGGCACTCGCAGCCCAGGGCGGCCGCGGAGGAGCCGATGCCGCTCCCGCGGACTGCAGCCCGTGGGCTCGTCAGGCAGAATATCGGCCTGCCCGCAGGTGCCCCAATGAAATTCCTGACGCTTCGCTTGGCTCCTCGCTGGCGTACGCGGGCCGTGGCCTTAAGTGGTCCTTGCATGTGCACTCTGCGCGTTCTCGCGCTAATTATCTTGCGCTGTGCCCCAGCCTCGGTCCTTACGACCTCTGGATTTTTCTTTGCGGGTTCGCGAATCAAAAAAAGTATCCCCCCAGGCTAATTAGCCTCGCCTGCTGGCCCAGACGACGCCTTCCGCTCCCTGACCGTCACCTCGGAGCCGCCGACCAAAAAAGTATCCCCCTCCAGTTTTCTAGCTAATTAGGCTTGCCCGTCGGCCCGGACACCCTGTTCGCCGCCTGCGCTCTTCGCTCGCGGCCGCGACCAAAAAAAAAGTATCCCCCACCAGCCTCCTTTGCTTCGGCGCGGCCCGCCCTAGCGTTGCACGGCTTTCGACTTGCTTCGCGAGCCCGCGTGCCAAAAAGTATCCCCACCAGCCCCTCCAAACGTCCAGACACAATCGCCGAGCGAGCTGCCTTGATATCAAGTAGCAGCATGCAGGCACGCTCCCGAAACCTCTTCTTGAAGGCATCCTGGGGCAGTCGTGGGGCCTTCTTGGGACCCTTCTTGGGGCCATGTTCCGAAACGCAAAAACGGCATACCCATAAAATTTGGGCGATCCGCGCGGAGCTCTGGGATGTACGGTGGAACCCCTGGTACGCCCCACGCGCCAGGGAGGGCGGCCCAGCTCAGTTTCAAGAGACCCGCGCGGAATGCCAACAGTCCATGGCTCTGCCGTTCTCCACCACCCACCAAACCACCCCAACCCAGCCCGAAGGGCTCAATTTACCCTTCACTTCCAGTGGAAGGGGGGCAACCTTGAAAAACACATCTGAAGCCCGTACCCCCCTTCCCCAACCCGACATTCGGGTCTTCCGGTTGGGTGGGGTTGTGGCGGTCTGGTGGGTCGTCAGATCTCTTGCCTCTCGACTGCTGGAGGCCTTCGGGGCCCCCTCTCGGAGGCCTCAGCGGCTCCGGCGGCCCCCCGGGGCGCGCACCGGCCCCCTGGGCACACCATTCGGGGAACCCGACGGCCGACGACGGGCGAGCCGCCGCGCGCCCCTCGCAGCAGGGCCCCGTCGCCGCGCGCACCTGCCGCACGCCCCACAGAGCGGGGGGGGGGGGGCCTTTGCGGGGGCCGCCCGACGTAGGCCCCACGCGAATCCCACGCGAATCGGACGTGGTCTGCTGTAAATCCCACGCGGATCCGACGTAAGCTGGGTATGATGTTGCCGCGCGAGGCCTCTTAGATTGTCCCCTGGACCCAGCTCGAATCCCTTGCCCTCCCCCCCTTGCCCCATCCCCAATGCTTGAGGCTGGCGTGCGCCGAAGACGCCCCTCCTCCTGCTCCCTGTCTCTTTGCGCTCCCCATCCTGCTTTTTCGTTCGTCCTCTTGGTCCTCCTCTTCCTCCCCCTGCCCCCTCCCCCCCCTCCCTGCTCCTTGTT